ACAAATGAAATGAGAGATCGGGATGTAAATATTTCGTTTATTTTATTTCACTTTTCACAAATATCACTCAAAATACAGCCAAAATATCGAAAAACAACTTTTACTAAAAAGTAAACAAACATGAAACAGAATTTGAAGTTTGACGTAGATCCATAAGACAGAGAGTTTTAAACAACCGTTGCCATTTATAAATAGTTTTCAGTGCTTCTACATATAAAATAATTGATTGATATCTAAATTATACGTTATTATTAAATGATAATGCATACTATGTGCACACTTTATATTTTGATTACAATTAAATATATTAATCTAACCAATAAATTATTATTTTGGTTTGATAGCACCTGTAGAGTATAAAATACGGAGTAATATTTTCAGCGACTCGCGAATAAGAAATTTTAAAACAAAACGTGACAACACCTGAAGGTGCTGAGAATGTGACCTATTCAAATAATTTTGACTTCACAATTTTATGTAAATAACTGAGTCCATCTGTGTTTATACGTCCATGGTTAAACCAGTATCCTTCTTTACCACAAACATTTATTCATTTTATGATAGGAATAAGTTTTTTCGGTTTTCCGTGGGTGCTTTTTTTCTTGACAAGACAATTGCTAATTAAAAAGATTGAGAAGACATTTCATTTAGCGAGCTACGGCGAGTTCCGAATTTTGTTTGTAATATCCTGATTTTACATGAGTTCCAAATATTTCGAGGCTATATTTCTACTTGCATAAAGGTCGGTTATATGCTACCCAACCTGCTGATGGTCCCCTTTACCTTTATTTAGCAAACGTCTCATTAAGACGCATATTCTACAATATCCTCTACTAATATATTCAGAATATAATAACCAGGGGAATCTTTTCATTTCCAAGTTTCGTGAAAAAGATGTTACCACTATAATCAAACCAAATCGTCTGCAGTAGGCAGGACATATAGCCCGGGAATAAGTAGACGAGGTAGACCAAAGCTGAGGTGGATAGGTGGGGTATCACAGGCGGCCGAGAAGATGGGTGTTGCCAACTGGAAACTTCGAGCAAGGGATAGAGCAGAATGACATAGAAATCTAGAGAAGGTCAAAGCTCTGTAGGACCGTAATGATGAATGAGATATGCTGCATGCCTATCAGTATTTAAATTTTATGATTACTTTTCTCAGTCATAAAAGTTATGACTGATGTCATGAGCATAATGGTTTGAGCCACCAAAACCCTCTAGCTACACCCAACGTCCATGATATCTCGAATTATTATGAGGGCTAATTATACATTCTGCGGTTCGATGGTCGATATTCTTATTTACTATTATTTATGGTGTGGTCAACAATTCTTCCGTATCTTTTACCTTGTAAAGTTCAGTGAGGTCAATCACATGTAAATATTATATTTTCTAAGTAATCTGTGTAAAGGCCGTATGACACTATGCATTTTCTTGTATCATTTCTTATATCGTTTCTGATATAACAAAAAAATGGATAGTGTCATACAGGCGTATAGTTTCTTGTATCAGAAACGATACAAGAATTTGTGTCCGCTGCATTTTCTTGTACAAGAAATGCGCCAATTTGTGCGCAAAGCCGCTAAAACGTAAAACTTCTTTCATGTGATATTGGCGGATGGAGGCATAGAGAAATAAAAATAATTATTATTTTTATTTCCCTATGGCTGGAGGAGAACTTTTGATATATACCAGAGATATGTAAGTATCTCTGATGTATACTTACATACAATTAGGCCAAGCAGACATCAAAGAAAAGTGCCCACCAACAATAACCAAGATTAGAACATCAGTAGCCATATTGAAAAACAATAAATCACAGTGATTGTATCAAATAGCATCGGAACTACTGAAAGTAGGAGGAGATGTTTTACTAAAAACAATACATAACCGCACTAAAAATTCGTGATGAGTTTAAAGATTATTTTATATCTCCAAATAAGAGAGTAGAGTTTCAAGAGCATACCATTTAAACACATAATTAAAAAAAAAACAAATAAATTATTACAACCAAATTATTTATTATTTCTGTCTTCCATTACAACCTGTTGAATATCTTCAAAAATTGTGGTTTCCAATTTAGTTTTCATATTGGGACATTTTATTTCTTTCATTTTTGCACCACAGTATTTTAAAAAATAATCAGTAGCATATGTTCTCAGTCCCCTAGTAGCTTGGGGTGCTCACTCCTCAGGCCCTTGTTCGGTGCCTCAGGTACTGCAGTTCTATTTCTATAGGTGTCAAAATTTCGACCAATCATGTGCCAAATCACATACAGTTTCTGGTAAAAGAACTTGCATAGTGTCATACAGGGCAAAAATGTACGTACAAGAAACGATACAAGAAAACATAAATAACTTTCTATATCAGAAACGATATAAGAAATGATACAAGAAAATGCATAGTGTCATACGGCCTTAAAAACATTATAGGCGAAAGAAAAGTAAAAGTAAATAGTATATAGAAAATGAGTCAATACTCACAATCTTAAGTAGTTTCTATTATTTAGTGATGGTAAATTTTGGGTTACCGGTTTCAAGGCTTACAATATATGCCCCATCGTCAGGCCCGTTCGTTTATCTTATTTATATTAAAAACTACAAGATATCAAATACAGGATTGCTCTATAAACTAAAGTAACATTTACTCAAACCCAGGACGTCACATAGGTACAAGAAAACATAAACTCCATAAAATGACAACGTAATATCTAGGGCAAAATGGTGTTTTAATTTTGATAAATTGTGTTTGTGTTTTCATGTATGTGGCGTCTATAAATTTTAGTTTTTTAATTTTGACAAACACAGCTATAACAATTCATAAATATATTGAAGAAATTGCAGCTTTTCTGTATCTGTCATCTTGCAGTTTTTAATATAAATAAGATTAACGTACTGGGGCCTGATGATGGGCATATATTGTAAGCCTTGAAACTGGTAGCCAAAAAATTGGGCGTAGGAAATTTCGACACTAAGCAGTTAGCGACTAAAATTTAATGGCAATTTTCGACACCAACCCCAATTCCCGTTTTATCTTACAGGTATATTCGACACCAAATAAATATAGCTGCGACATAAATAAAATACCATAATTAATTAATTTATTTATTTTAATAAAAGTAATGTGCATTTTATTTCTTTATAACTGTAATAATATCTAAATATAATACAACTAGTACCTAATTTTTGTACATTTTACCGTTAATATACTTGTGTACAATGATTTATTTGCTATTATAGGAATGACAAGATACAGCTTTTATAAAATCTAACCTACGTATTTGTTGGGATCGTAGTTTATCCATCATTTTCTCCAAAAATACCAATTTAGCCGTAACAGTAGTATCTTTGATTTTTGCTGGTATATGTAAACTATTTATTTTGACATAAGTGTCTACTTGAAATTCTTTTAACTTTTCAATAAAAATAAAAATAGAAGGATGTGTTGAATACATAGAAGAATTAAATCTCGAATGAAAGGATTCACAGGCATTTGTGGTCCTCGCAATAGACGGATTCTGATTAGACCATATGTGTGGTGGAAATAGAGCGCTATCGAAAATGTAATTTTCCAGTAAATAATCTGCATATATATAAAGTGTTGCGTTTATAGGTTTATATGACATTAAATCATAAAGAAAGCATTCTTCAACTTCTGCTGGATTTAAATAAGTTAAATCAAACGTATGCCTTAACCATTTTCCAATTTCTGAATTTGTATCCTTATATTCTTGTACCAAACCCAAAGATTGATATTTTTTAAACCAGTTTTGGTGTAAGTGAAAACGGCATCCACTAATTTTTACATTGGGCCACATATACAATAAAGCACAGTGAATTGCTTTTTCAAAGTCCACAAATATTTCAGTTGGCTCTAATGATAATTGAAATATTTCAAAAATCTTAGACCTTAATATAGAAAATAAATTTTTGTATGTCATTGACAATTTGTCCTTTAACAAACAGTATGCTAAAGGAACATAATGATTTTCCAAGCCATTTATAGTAAATAATTGTAGAAAATATTTGGTACTGTATGAAAATGTACCATCCATATACAAAGTTTTTAATTTACACAACAAACGAATATTTGTCTCGCATCAAAATACAATTATATTTAATTCAGGATGATTTAAAAACAAAAAACTTTCATTGCGACAGGTTTTAGGAGAATAATTACTAGTTAACCGCGTTATGGACTTCTGATATGCTTCTTGGTAACGGACCTGGTAACAGTTTACGACGACAGTTGTTCTTTCTTATGCTAGCTATGTCAGGAACCGTCAGCAAATTGGCATCACACTCAGCAACAGCAGTTCTTGTAATTTTGGCAGGCTTTTCCGATATGTCCTCTTGGGCTTTTCTTTTACATGCATTGGTTACCATCTTTACTTTTTTGGATCGGCTTCATGATTATGTACCAAATCACTTCTTGTGATGGTAAGGTCCTCACAGCCTATTGTAAACACTTTTGCGGAACACTTAGTGTTTCTTTGGATGCAGCGCCAAAATATCTCGCCGCTTTTTAACACTTTCTGTTTCGAGAACGAATGATGCTCCACCAGTAATAAATCTCGACCACGGGAACTTTTTATCAAATTCATTTTTTAAATATCCGTATACGTGCACAAGTCAACGTCAAACAAGAAATATATATATATATATATATATATATATATATGTAAATATATATATATATATATATATATATATATATATATATATATATATATATATATATTCCTGAAGAGGCAACAGCCTAAAACAGGAAGACAAAACCACAACAAAAATATATATATATATATATATATATATATATATATATATATATATATATATCTACTAGTATTATGGAATCACCTTGGTAACCTTTTCATCATTTTTAAAAGTAAATAAATTAGCGATTCACTAAAAATAAATAAAGGGGAAAGCTCAACCGGTAGACTTCACTGAGGTATAAAAATGAAAACATTATTATAAAAATTATAGATATACAAACCTGAATATGAGATAGTAAGTTAAAATGACTTGCATAATCTTTAATATATTGCAGAACCATAGGTTGCGACACGTAAGAATAGTCTGGTTTTGAAAATGGAAAATCTTCTAATTGCATCAGCTCTTTGGGTAAATTGGTCCTAAAATAGTAAAGACTTTAATAGTAAACAGGTAAAAAGAAAGACTTTAATAGTAAAAAATATTGCCTATGAAATTATAATGATATGTTGTAAGTAACGTGTTGTATAATTTTACAATCTTCATATTCAAGAGAAAAAATAATTGGATTTGAGTTTGACGTTGTCTTATTCGACAAAAAACCGGAAGTTTAAATATAATATTTTTCCGTATATAATACATCATTTTTTTTACCACGTGGAGGTATACAGTGCTTCTCAGATAAAACTATCCACCTTAAATAACTTTTGAACTTCTAATTTTTAGAAAAAATGCAAAAACACGTCAATTATTATTTGAAATATTTGAAGGGGGAGTCATTATATCATATTTAAGATTGCTGGGAAATGCACCCTCTCACCCCTTGTATCAACCATTAATTTTTTTAAAAATTACTTCCCCCTTTTTTATTTTATATTTGGATTCTCCTTTTTGTACTGATTTCAAAAATGTATGGCCTTCAACCCTTTGGCTTGAAGTGATTAGTTTATGAGATAGACAATTTTCCTGTTAACAAGAGAGTATGTCTCTCACCTTAATTGACTGTAACAAAATAGATTGTACTATTTGTAGTAACTTCAAAAACCAAGAAACAAAAAAATCCACTTTTTATTAAAGTTTTATCAAAGGTTTTCGATATTATTTTTACATTTGTTTTAATCGGTTAATAGCCAACGACAATTTGTTATAACTTGTAAGTAACAGCCTATTTTAATACGTGTGCAATTTGATCGCTGACATGGTGTACACTTTGCAAGAAAGAATCGAAATTGTAGGTTTATACTACAAAAATAATAATTGTGCAAGAGCTGCTGCTAGAATTTTAAATGAAACACACCACAATAGACATGAAACTCATAAGTATGTGATTGAACTGGTGCAGAAATTTAGAACAAGATGGTCAGTTTGCAATAAAAAACATAACCGACAGGGACTAAATAACGAAGCAATCCAAGCAGCTGTTTTAGGGCAAGTTAACTTACAGGCTTAACAAACACAGTCACTGTCAACAATAAGCATAGCAATCGGTGTTTCATCTTCTACAGCCTTTCGAGTACTCCGTAAATATAAGTTTCATCCATATAAAATTAAATTAGTACAAGAGTTAAATGAAGAATATTTTGATCGTCGTCCCGAATTTTGCAAATTAATGATACAATGCATCATTAACAATCCACAATTGTTAAACAATATTTGCTTCTCGGATAATTGCTCATTCTCATTAAACGGTTTGGTGAACAGATATAATTGCCGATACTGGGCCGAGAGTGATCCACATTTTGTACGTGAATTTCACACAGCATCCTCAAAAGTTAAACGTATGGTGTGGTATCCTACGTGATCACATTATCGGACTCTTCTGTATCACAGGAAACTTAAATGGTGCATCGTATCTTGAATTTTTTAGGCAAGTGGTTGTTCGTATTAGACCAATAGTAGGAAATGATTATAACCTTTCCGAAGATTTGGTTGTATTTTAACATGATAGAGCTTCTCCACACTTTACCCGTGCCATAATTTTTAAACGAAACGTTTCCCGGTCCTTGAATAGGTAAAGACGACAGTTGATGGATTGTTCTCGGACGCGACTAGTTCACGTTCGAGACGCATCGCCCCGCCCCTTATTTTTCCCGTTGGCCCCTCCCTGACCTGGAAATCCCTAATCGCTACTGCGGAAAGTATAAAAATAGGCGATTTTCAGGTCAATAAAGTCAGTCCTTCACGGGCTCTCCGAGAGCTTAGTGCTCTCGAAGCTCTGCTTTTCTTTTAGCCTTACCTTACTCTGTGGCTGAGTTATTTTACGATACTTTTGTGTTTTATTTCGACCTACTTTGGTCATGTAAGAAATAACTTGCCTTTATCAAGGCAAGTCAACGAGAGAAGTTTCTACAAGTCTATACCAGAAAATAGATTTGAGTAGAGGTGTCTTCGTAGACGTTCACGAAGCCCTCTACAGAGCACCCAGAGGCAGATGATTGACGACAGGCCAAATTATCACGTCCCCTGCGGTGACATGGCGCCCGACAACGTGGATTATTCCACTCCCACGACCCAGCTCGACTCGCAGCAGAAGGCTACAACCATTGACTTCAACATGGGTTGAAGTCAAGAGAAGAACGGGGAGAACCACGGAGTGTTAGAATGCTATCTGACACTCCGACATCGAGGCCTTCTGCAGACCGGATGCCTTCGACGTGCAGGCGACTTTGACGAGCCAGCCTTCTTCGAAGTCAGAAGCCCCAGATGCCAACGGAAGTCCCGGAGCAGACCCAGTCATCGCCCCCCTACCGAAAAGGCTTCGGCACCCTGGTACTCTGCGAAACCCCGTTGGATATGGCAGATGGGATCCGGACGACCAAGAGGAAGACGAACCCGTCGAAGGAGTTAGCACACCGATCGAGGATGGACCTGCAGGAGCCGGAGATGCCGTCAACACCACCGACCTCCCTGTTACTACTGTGTAGTGAGTTGCTCAAAGACAATTTTTTTAATTTTATTTACATTTTTCATGTATTTCATACATTATTCTTATCTCTGTATTACTTTTTGATTTTCAATAAATTCTTTCCCAGCCACAGAGTCTCCAGAGGAAGGGGGATGTTCTCGGACGCGACTAGTTCACGTTCGAGACGCATCGCCCCGCCCCTTATTTTTCCCGTTGGCCCCTCCCTGACCTGGAAATCCCTAATCGCTACTGCGGAAAGTATAAAAATAGGCGATTTTCAGGTCAATAAAGTCAGTCCTTCACGGGCTCTCCGAGAGCTTAGTGCTCTCGAAGCTCTGCTTTTCTTTTAGCCTTACCTTACTCTGTGGCTGAGTTATTTTACGATACTTTTGTGTTTTATTTCGACCTACTTTGGTCATGTAAGAAATAACTTGCCTTTATCAAGGCAAGTCAACGAGAGAAGTTTCTACAAGTCTATACCAGAAAATAGATTTGAGTAGAGGTGTCTTCGTAGACGTTCACGAAGCCCTCTACAGAGCACCCAGAGGCAGATGATTGACGACAGGCCAAATTATCACGTCCCCTGCGGTGACAGGATTGGCCACCTAGGTCACCGGATTGAACACCCCTAGAGTTCTTCTTATGGTGGTATTTAAAAACAAAATTTTATGCTACTCAACCAGAATCTCTACATGATTTACGACAAAGAATAGAGGATAAATGTCGACAATTACCTAAACGCAGACGTGTTAAGCAATGTCAGAGAAGAATTTCAAAATAGATTGTACTATTGTATGGAAGTAAAGGGAAGTCATTTTGAACAATTATTGTAAAAATTTTTAGTAGTGAAATGTTCATTCTAAATGTGTATAATAAAATTGTTAAAAAATAATTTTTATTTCAATCTAATTTTCTTGCTTTTATATTTATTTTTCTGAAAAACTAATCACTTCAAGCGTCATGTATTATACATGTCTGAAATCAGTACAAAGAGGAGAATCCAAATATCAAATAAAAAAATGGGGAGGTAATTTAAAAAATCAAGGGACGATACGGGGGGTGAAAGGGTGCATTTCCCAGCAACCTTAAATGTGATATAATGTCTCTCCCTTTCAATATTAATTAACGTTTTTTTACGTTTTTCCTAAAAATTATTAGTTTAAAAGTTATTTAAGGTGGATAGTTTTATCTGAAAAGCACTGTACATATAATCAGAAACGCGACACTGGCTCAAAGACTTTTTTAGTGACATAATGAAGACATCTGTACTACCTCTAGAGTTCAAAAGAACCAAAGTTATTGCAATTTTAAAACCTGGAAAGGACGGTGAACTACCCGAAAACTATCGACCCATTGCCCTCCTCAGTTGCTGCTACAAACTACTAGAGCGACTTATATATAACAGAAATACCCCATCACCGACTGTGATACCAGTCGAACAGGCCGGATTTAGAAGCGGGCGTAGCTGTAGTGATCAAGTACTGTCCTTAACGACATTTATTGCAGGCGGTTTCGAAAAACGGGAAAAAACAGCCGTAACGTTTATAGATCTGACGGCTGCATATGACACTGTGTGGAGAGAAGGCCTGATTTACAAGCTAATGAAGATCATACCATGCCTGAAAACCTGCCAACTAATCAATAACCTCCTAACCAACAGACTGTTTCAAGTATATATAAACGATACAAAGAGCAATGTCAGAAAGCTAAATAATGGCCTCCCACAGGGTTCAGTGCTTGCTCCACTATTATTTAACATTTACACAGCCGATCTTCCAGAGACAAAATAAAAAAAATTTGCTTACGCAGATGACCTGACTATCGCATTTCAAAACCAAGCCAAAGATGTTGGAGAAAGGGCGCTTACCGAAGACCTAAGGGTTCTCTGCGACTACTTTAAAAAATGGCGACTTCGCCCTAATACAAACAAAACTGAGACAAGTCTCTTCCATCTCACAAATCAGCTTTCGGATGACACCCTTAGCATCACCTTCAATGGCGAGTTTGAAACATAATAACAACCCTGAATACCTGGGTGTAACGCTCGACAGATCACTGACGTTCAAAACCCATCTTACGAATGTAGCTGCCAAAGTGAGAACCCGTAACAACATAATAACAAAGCTTGCTGGCCTCACTGGCCCTGGTGTATTCTGTCGCTGAATACTGCGCACCGGTATGGCTAAATAGCACTCATGTCAACAAGATTGATGTTCAACTAAATTACACTATGAGAGTAATATCTGGTACTATTAAATCAACTCCACTAAGATGGCTTCCAATTCTGAGCAATATAGCACCTCCAGATATTCGACAAACGGCAGCACTTGTCAGAGAATATCAGAAAATCATGGCAAATAATCGTCTGCCAATTCACCAGTACATTCCGCACACCGCACGAGACCAACAAAGACTGAAGTCCAGACGACCCCCTGTCCAATCTGTTCAGGGAATGGGTGATAGCTACAATAAGCAAGAGCAGTGGACGAAAAGATGGATGCCAACAACAGAGCCAGACGTCATCAAAATAACAAGTACGCCGATCGGCTTCACTGGATCAAACCTGCCACGCCCTATATGGACAAAATTAAATCGCATACGCACGGGTCATGGCAAATGTGCCGATTCTTTATACCGATGGGGTCATGCAGAAAGCCCACAATGTGATTGTGGATTCCCGAGACAGACCATCCAACACATCATGGCGGATTGCCCAATCCGCAGATACAGCGGAGACCTTCAAGATTTTGCAGAGTGTTCTCCTGGTGCAATTGAATGGCTGTGCAATTTGGACATTAATATTAATTATTTAACTTAAGTTACAATTCCAATTTGAACATAATTATTATCTAAATACTACTTTTATCGTATTGTAATTATCCATACGCTAAATAAAAATCAGATTTTTCCTTCATAGAGATTAATACCTTTTAGACCTATTTAAAAGACAAAAGAGTTAACTATATCAAAGTTTCAATATTTTATTAAGAATCACTCATTATGGTGGTCATCCAATTGGACGTCATCCTGGACAACAGAGAAAAAGAATTCAGAGCATTCTATAAGAAAGTAAACATCAACAGAAAATAATTTAAGCAATCACAAGTCAATGCAGAGGTCAGAATGGCGACATATTAACAACAAGGAAAGATGTATTAAATATATGGTTGGAATATTTAATCAGGCATTTAATATAAAGGAAGAAAAAAAAACCCTAAGACAAAAAAAAAATGAAATAAGGGGAGCAGACGAGAAGAAAGAGAAACCACCAACGATTCTTGAAATTACAGATGCGGTTAAAAAACTAGTCAGACACAAATTACCCGGAATAGATAATCACGCAGCTGAACTTTATATATAAAAAAGGTGGCCAAAATATCATAATTTGATCACAGCAGCTTATGAAAGAACTATGAATACAGAAATCCCTGCCCAATGATTGGAATATTGGAATACTTTGCACCATACACAAAAAGGGAGATATCTTAGAGTGTTCTAACCACAGAGGAATTACGCTTCTAGATAAAGCCTATAAAATATTTTTCACAAAATATCTTTTACAAAATACGCTGGTTTCAGAGGTGGTAAATCGACAATTCATCAGATTGCAAGCCTGAGATAAATTTTGGCAAAAACACTGGAATATGGCATTTATACTCATCTTATATTTTTATAGACTACAAAGTAGCCTACTCCTCTGTGAAGAAAAGGAAAATGTTGGAAATCAGTTGGTAAATTTACCAAAACTAACTCTTAAAAAAGTTGAATGTAGAGTATGAATTTAGAAGGAACTGTCTGAACCTTTTAAAACAAATAACGGGCTGCACCAGGAAGACCCTCTCTCTTGTATACTGTTCAATCTGGTTTGGAAAAAGTAGTACGTATTTCACGTCCTGGACTCTAATAAAAAGTAATGAAAATATGTTAGGATGTTTCGAAAGAAAAGTACCAAGGCGAATCTTTGGAGCAGTAAATGACAATGGAGTGTGGTAAAGACGATACAACTTCGAACTTTATAGAATATACCAGGAACCAGATATCGTAAAACATATTAAGATAGGACACCTGAGGTGGATAAGGCATGTATTGCGGATGAAACAAAATGACTTAGCTAGAAAAACGCTCCTTGATAGACCTATTGGTTAGAGAAGAGGAAGACCCAAAACAAGGTTCTTTGATACCATCGATGAAGACGTGAGAAATATGGAAATACCTGCTTGGCGGAGGCCTGGCAATGGATAGGGACGACTGGAGAGAAATTCTTGGGGAGGCTAGGATCCACGCAGGGTCGTACAGTCAGATTGATGATGATAATAGTTATCCAATGGTCATCAATATTTCTTGGAATTAAGTGTCCAAAATTTCAAAACTAAACTATACTCATAGTATGTGATAAATGTAATAACTATAATAACACTTATTGTGAAACACTTAAACTGCTTCAAATTTAGAAAGAAACTGCTCCAAAGAAAAAAACCGCTAACAAACTTTAATACAACAAAAACATTATTAGATAAGAACTGTATTATAAATAATATAAAATTTTTTCAAATTATTGTAAACTAAAAACCCAAAAATTTTCTCATAATTATGAAAACTGAAAAAGCTTTTCAGTTCTTATATTTATTTAGCTGTAGTATCCAAAGGATTATGTGCATCACTTTTACTTTACATTAGAATACCAACTTACCTAAGTCCATCATACATTGAAGAGTGAATGGGTAGTCCATTGTCATCGATTCCAGTTTTTTCAATATAATTCCAGGTACCACCTATCAAGCCAGTTTGTTCAAAAAGTTCGCACTCATAATGTTCGTCTAGACTGTGTTTTAGAGCAGCTAAACCCGCAGCTCCTCCTCCAATAATACCTATTTTCATTTCTAAAAAAACAACAAAACAAATAAAGTTAAAAGAAGTAATCGCATAAAAATAGATTAGGAATAAGTGCCAGGTAGAATGAATTTTACGAACCACCAAAAACATTAGTAATCAATTTGGTATTTTCCACCATACCTGTGACTTACTTTTGGTTTGTAATGTGGTTTGTTACTGTTTTTTTAAGTGATTTATTCGTTGCAAAATATTGTTATTAACTGAACGCCAATGTCATGTGTATAACTCTTGGAATCTCTCAAAGGACAATAATTTAACATTTTTGATTGAATTGTTTATGTGGGTTACGATATCTTAGCGTGTTTTTGTTTGTGGCTTACGTTGTTTCAGATTTTAAATTTTTAGGTTATACACGCTGTAAGAATGATAACCAAGTATTTTAAATAATGCTTTAAAATTTAAAAACTAAATATATTTGTAAACTTAAATCTCAGCTAATAATAGCAAAGCAAATATTAGGACTAAAGCTCGGATTATAGGCAAATCCCCTTTTTTTGCTTATTTTGTCTATTCTAGTTTTTTTTTTATTTTTTCGTGCCTATTTGTGCCTTTTTGAAGCGAAGCTTCTATACTGGCGTTGTATTACTTTTTTTTACAGTAAAATGTCGAGGCGAGCGTCACTGAATTAGCGCCACAAGATGACGTCGTCACAACAAATCGTTTCTAGTCATCATATGTTTACTTTAAGTAGATTTAAATTAAAAACTGCATGAAACATAACTAACAAAATATAGACATTAAAAAAGAAGTAAAAAAATTAAAAGAATATCTGTCACTTAAATATTTGATTTGTAACAATTGTGAAAATTTAATGACAGTCATAAATGCCGTAGGATTATATTTAAATTTTTTAAATAATTTTCTTTTTAAAATAATGTAACTCCGCCTCTGGTAGGTACTGGGTGGATTGAGTAGCTCAGTAAATGCCAGTGCCGGATGAAGGAGGAGGGTTACAGCGGTAGGTTAGCTCCCAGCCCTGCGTAAAAGAAATATTGCTAAAAATCCCAAAGAACAGCCTCGGAACTCGGATGGCTTCAACGGAAAAAGACATAGGCAAAGAAAAAGGCTAACGAATTTTGGATGTTGGAACATACACGGACTGAATACAAAAGAAGACCAAGTATTTAAGGAACTCAGTACATACCGAATTGACATCGCAGTACTCAGCGAAACAAAAAAGAAAGGACAGGGGAACCACTACAAAGACGATTATATATACTTCTGGAGCGGAGTAGAAAAATCAAAAAGAGCCAAAGCTGGAGTAGCGATCGTGATAAGAAAAAACATGGAAAAATGTATTACCAACTGGAACCCGATAGACGAAAGAATTATAACAGTAGACCTTACAACAAAGTGGAGAGACATAAAAATAATTGGCATCTATGCACCCACGGACGACTCAGATACAAACACTAAAGACATGTTCATGTTCTTCGACAAACTCTCAGAAGAGTTAAATACAATAAAAAAAGACAAGAAATAGTCCTGCTAGGGGACCTGAACGGAAGAGTAGGTAAAGCTCTTGACAACAAAATAATTGGACAACACGGAGAAGATGTAGTAAATGAGAACGGAACAAGATGGTTCATAGAGACATAAATAAATATACATGGACTCAAAAGACAAGAAAACTGCAGTAATTATAGACTATATAGTAGTTAAACAAGAGACATCTTTAAGACCCTACGATGTAAAAGTTTGGAGAGGGGCAGAATGTGGATCGGATCACCTACTAGTAAAGGCACCCGTGGAAATAAGATATATTAAATAAAATAAATCCCAAGAACAGACAAACAAAGAATCCATACGGCTCTATAACATAGACAGCTTAAAAAATGAGTCCACAAGTTTTCTTTGTAAACAACGTTTGGCACAAAAATTAGACGAAGAAATAAACGGATCAGCGGAAGAAATGTATGAGACTTTGAAAATCAAAATTCATGAAGCAGCATTAGAAGCTCTAGGTACGAAAGAAAAAGTAAAACGTAGAAATTATTGGTGGACAGAAGGTTTATTAGAACTGGTAGAAGAAAAGAAAAAACTGTATCTCAAATGGTTAGCGACAAAAGATGAGGAAGACCGAAAGAACTATAACAGATACAAATATATAGTAAAAAAGGAAATTAAAAAAACAAAAAACATAACCTGGGATAACAAGTGTGCAGAAATAAGCTCAACGGTAGGAGGATCTAGGTCCAGACAAGCTTGGAAAACTATCAACAGTCTTAGAAAAAATACAAACGAAACAAAAAAAAATAAACCCCATAGACATAGAAAGATGGAAAAATTATTACGAAAATCTATTAAATGAACAACGTACACAGTTTCTAGACACACAGATAGATAGAGTTGAAACGGGGTTAAATGAAGTGGCGATGATTACCGTAGAAGAAATAAAAAACGCATTACAAAAAATGAAAAATAATAAAGCTCCTGGGCCGGGTGATTTACCTATCGAGTTATTCAAACATGCCACTGCAATATCATTAGAATTGCTTTGTAAAATGTTTAACAAGTGCCTACAAGAAGAAAGTATCCCAAGAGATTGGAAAGTCTCGTACATAAACCCCATCTACAAAAAGGGAAACAGGAATGACTGCAGTAATTACCGAAGTATCAGCATTACGTCATCCACTGGCAAACTGTATGAAAGAGTTCTGAAAGCCAGAATAGAAAAAGAAGCCACAGAGATCGAAGAACAAAGTGTATTCCCACTAGGGAGATCTTGTGTCGACAATGTATTTACTCGCAAACATCTAATGGAAAAGAGATTAGCAAGAGGACTAGAACTTCATGCCACTTTTATAGATCTCCGTAAAGCGTTTGACTCCATACCACTGCAGAGACTATGGACAACATTGGAAAACGCAGGTATAAATGCAGTATATATAAATGCCGTGAAAAAGCTATATCAAGATAACCAAGCTTATATTAAGGTTGGAAACCAAATTTCCAAGGGTTTCATCCAAACAAAGGGTGTCAAACAGGGCTCTTGCCTCTCCCCAACCCTATTTAAAATATATCTTGGTAATGCTTTAAAATATTGGATGAGAAAATGCAGCCCAATGGGCATATGGGTAAATGACACTCCTATATACACAATCCTCTTCGCAGACGACCAGGTAGTTCTTGCCGAGGACCTACAAGATATAACGTACATGATAAACAAACTAATAGACGAATTCAAAAACTGGGGATTAGAGGTTAATACCGAAAAGACACAATACATGAATATAGGAGGCATCGGTCAAGACATGGAAACAGAAAGCGGATTAATTAAAAACGTTGATCAGTACGAATATCTCGGAGTTACACTAAGCGAAGACGGGAGAGACGACAAAGATATAATAAGAAAAATAGGAAAAGGAAAAAACATGATAAAAACACTACATCCGATCCTGTGGAATAAAACTTTAACTAAGAAAACAAAGAAAAATATATATCAGGCTATGATTCAGCCGGTGCTGACGTATGGGTCAGAAGTGTGGGTCTTTAACAAGAATATGTCACAAAAACTCCTCTCAACGGAAATGATGTACTGGAGAAGATGTTCCGGGTTAACTTTGTTTGACCACATAAGAAATGAAAACATAAGAGAGAGAATGAAAGTAAAGAACACAATAATGGATACGATAGCCGAAAAACAATTAAAATGGTATGGACACCTGAGACGGATGAACGAAGAAAGGATACCACGAAAGGTTTGGAACTGGAGACCTACACAGAGAAATAAAAGGGGAAGGCCAAGAAAGAAATGGATATCCAATATTCATATAGAAATGGAAAATAGAGTTCTGGAGACGAAATACAAACGATTTTATTTTGAGAACGATTTCCGAAGTGGAAATTGAAACGTCAATAAACGTATTTTTATCTTTAATTGTGGCTTATTCCCAGTTTAATAGTAATTATATATTTTACGTCATTGACCACGGATTAATAAAACAATCAGAATAGCCACTCTACTTGTCAAGATAAATACGCGTAGACGGAGGTAGCCATGATTTAAACGAAACCAGTGCTGTTCAGTAAAATTTTATCTCGTGTGCTAGAACAATTACCCCGGTTTATTGATGTACGGCAACCATAGACATAATATACAATATTTTATATCGTACTTTTAGTTGAAGAATAGATTAAATTATTTCAAATTTACTCAATTATTAATCTCTAAAAATTTAAATTATGGTTCTGTCGTAGCTTTTCACTTTATCAATCCGAGTTCGTGTTTCCGTTTAAAATATGGCGATCGCGTGCTGACACACTTCAAAGGCGGCATATGAGAGCGTGGGTATTCTGATTGTTACTTATTCTGCGGAAATGATAAAAATTGAGTAACTAAACAAAAACTAATTGATAATTTAAAAAGATAATTGATTTTTATATGATTTTCAAATAATAACCATAATACTCTATTGTCACCTTTATCGTTGCCATGCCAAAAACCATAAGAAGTGGAGGCACACAAATTTTACTTTAAAAATATTTTTATGTTTTGTGATATCTACAAAAGAAGTATATTTTTAAATAACAAAATCTCAATTTAATTATAAAATAAAAATTTTGTCACATCTTAACTATCTTTAGACACTACATAAAATTGAGGAAACAGCATGAAACAACGTATCGCATATATTACTAAACTTCGTGAACTTTTATCTTTTTCAGATAACCATATATTGCAAAAAATCTCTATTATGGTTGCATATAGCGCTGTATTATCGAAATTGTTGTAACTGATATACCAATCTCCCCCTTTTTATACTCGATAGTAAAATTTTATGACGCATATTTAGGATCTGCCAAAAAGTAAAGTATTTAAGCTCCCACATAAAAACTGATGCAGTAGGGTTTTACAAGGGAACCGCATGGAGTAAATATAATAAAAATTAATATTTTTACTGGTAGAATAAAAGTCGTTATTTAAAGTCAACTTAGAGATTGACAGGCTGTCATTTATATTTACACTAGCTGACCCTGCGAAC